GTTCATGTACATATAAATACTATATATATATATATATATATATATATATATATATATATATATATATATATATATATATATATGTATATGCTTATACATATGCATACATACATATATATAAATATATGTGTAAGTATATATGCATACAAAATTATGCCTATATACGTATGTACAACTGTGTATACATACATATATGTATATACATGTATGTGTACGTGAAATATCTTTTTTCTAGCATCTAAAAACTTGGACTTCGATACTCAAAAAATGAACAATTGAAAAGATGGCATTGAAATAATTGATTCTTTATTTCTTTGAATTAATTGTATATCCATTGTTCTTCATAAAAGAAGTGGAAGTAGAGTTAATTATTAATCATATAGAGTCCAAATCTCATGTCTGGATGTGTGTATTACATCAAAAAATGAAAATATAACAATTTTCCATAGATATCATTAAATCTACAATTTTAAAGCATAGATACCCATATAGCCTGAGTTGGCGATTCCAGATTAGGCAAGTAACAGGTCCCATGCCAGTCTCACGTAGCTGATGTTTAGACACATGGTCCTGCCAACTGTACCCCATGATCCAGTATAGGGACTCGTTACAAAAGGCATCAGGACGAGACTCCAAGGCACTAGTGTCCAGGTTTCGCTTCCACACAGCAAAACTGGCAGTATCAGGGTCTTATAGACACATAACTTGGTCCTTCTGCATAGGTACCGACATCTCCAAATGCTCTTGTTGATTGAGTTTATGGCTCCTACTGCCAGACCAATCCGTCTACTAACTTCTTGGTCTGACAGCCCAGAGACATGGACTATACGTCGAGGTATGTAAAGCTCTCTGCGACATCAACCTCCTCACTGCAAGCGTGTATCGACTGAACGGGTTCCCCTAACAAGCTCCTAAAGTCCTGAATCTTGGTTTTAGTCCAGGAGACCTCTTAGGCCCAAGGGCTTCACCTCATGGCTACATGCATCAAGAGCCGCCACCAGTGATCTCAGAGACTGAGATAGGATAGCAACATCATCGGCAAAGTCAAGGTCTGTGACTTTGATATTGCCCAGTGTTGCTCCACACTGACTTTGGGTAGTAGCTCTGTCCATTATGCAGACCATGCAGGTGTTGAAAAGCGTCGGTGCAAGGACACAGCCTTGCTTCACCCCTGAAATAACAGGGAAGAAGCACCACACTTTACAGCCCTTTCAGTCCTAATATACAGGCTTGTTCTTAATCCAATAATCCTTGTTGGAATTCCTCTTAGTCACAGGATCTCCCTGAGTGATTCGCGATGCACCGAACCGAATGTTTTCTTGAGATCGATGTAGGGATTGCGAACATCTCACGACCGAACTCACGATGGCATTCCGCAATGACTCAGAACACAAGGATATAATCTATAGTGGACTTGCCAGGAGGGAATCCAGACTGCTCCAGCCTTAGGCCCCTTAGTAGGTGGTCACAGACCCATTTCTGAAGAATGTGGGCGAAAACCTTGCCTGGTATACTGAGCAGTGTAACAGTAGTTACTACAGTCCCTATGATCCTCTTCCCCACGGCCCTCAACAGGTTTTTGGCAGTTCAACACGGATATAACATATACCTGCAGCTTTCCCACAGGGTAGGAGGTTCCTCGGTGATGGGTGGGTCTGGCACGGGTATTGTGATACCACTAGCATCCAAGCTAATTGTTGGTGGGTATAACTGTTACAGCTGCTCAAAATACTCACTGTTCATGAACCCTAACATGATCTGAGATGATCTGTCCATCCATATATGTATATATATATGTGTGTTTATATGTCATATTTAAATGCACGCATGCACGCACGCATACACACACACGCACACACACACATGTATGTTTATGGATTTACATAATATATATATTAACATTTATATACATATGTATATACACAACAAAGAAATATGTGTATATGATATATATATATGTATATATATAAGTATATTATATGTAAATTTATATATAAATATATATTATATATGAACTATATGCATTCTATACATGTATTTTATATTGATAAAATATATGTAGATTATATAAAGTACATATATATCATATATTATATATATATTATTTATATATTACATACATATATGCAAATATATTATATATCTCATAAATGTAGAGATATATCTTGGCTGCTCCATGTATGAACAATCCTAAACTAACAATACTACACAAACAACTAAAAGAAATGTAATACTAGTATTTCACTAACTTTACTTATCTACTAACTGACTAACTATGTAGACCTTAACTATCTACTAACTAACTAAGTCCATAGACTTTACCTATCTACTAACTAACTCTGTAGACTTTATCTATCTACTAACTAAGTAGACTTTACCTATCTACTAACTAAGTAGACTTTACCTATCTACTAACTGACTAACTCTATAGACTTTGCTTATCTACTAAATGACTAACTCTGTAGACCTTAACTATCTACTAACTAACTCTGTAGACTTTACCTATCTACTCATACAAGTTTTTACACCTCCTGTGGCCACCGGGGAATGGATTCAGCCGCTCACTACTAACGAACTCTGTAGACTTTACCTATCTACTAACTAATTTAATAGACTTTACCTATCTCCTAACTAACTCCATACTTAACCTATCTACTAACTAACTAACAAACTAACTCTGTAGACTTTACCTACCTACTAACTAACAGTAGACTTTACCTTTACAGATTTTACACACCTCCTGCAGCCACCGGGGAATGGATTCATCCGCTCGAACCCGAAAGTGAAATGCTCCAAAAGTATTTACGAAAGATAGAGTAATCCATTTGGCTTCATTGATATGGAGAAAGAACAACTCTCCCTGACCTGGACTCTGAACCTCAACCACTCTAGGTATGTTAACCCATTCATTCGTATACGTGACATGCCCACTGTGAGTTTACTTGTTTAATTGTTTTTACACATAGAAGGTTACACTTGTACTTGTACTGCCTGTCTCGCCTGTTTACTCTTTTCTCTAATTTACAAAACTATTTTACATTATTTTATTTTGTTACTAATGTTTATATAACATTATAGTAATTATAATATTTATGATAAAAATAACCATCAATATCCATAGCTCTAGTAAAAATACATTTTCCCGCCAAATGAAATCAGGTAAGGCAGAACTATTTAGTGCAGAGATATTTCACAAAAAATATAAGAAATGAGCACAGCATTTTCCCATTTTTTGTTCATTTTTACCCGGCGCGAATGGATTAAGGGCAGTGCTATACCAACCACACTATACTATAAGAAGTGTGCAAATACGACCTCACTAGCTCCAAAGACATTACCTATCTACTCATACTAGTGTGTGTATGTAAACACCTATATATATACATATACACATATATTCATCAATATGTTTATGTAAGTAAATATACATATACACACACACACACACACTCATTACACACATACATATATAGCATATATACATATATAATAATCATCCCTTATAGACTAGCATTAGTTCCAAGACTGATGACCAAAAACCCACACATGCTGATAATTGTCATCAAATTACCATAGGTGAAGATTCAAACGAACATTGTTCATTGTGATTAATGTAATAATGTAATGTAGAGGTATGAATGCACAGTGATATCTTCACAGCATCAGAAATAATATATAGTATTATATAAAGATGTATTTGAATATATAGGTAACAAACAGATAAATGTATGCTAATACATAGATAGGTTCATGCATGCATCAAGGGAAGTAAACTATTAGATACATAAAAGAGGCACAATAACAAAAATAAACCAGTACATACGTATGGGTGGGTTTATATATATTCATATATATATACATGAATGTGTGAATGTGTTTGTGCATATTGATTATTGTATATCATAATTGTTTCCATGGGTCCTCTATCTTTTGATTGCTAATATCGCTGATCTTAAAATGAATTACATGGTTTTTCTCTTGCAGTTATAACAGAATCATCATGGAAAATAAAACACTCCAAAACAGCCAGTGACTTTGCCATGTTGAGGAGGTGAAAGAGCAACTTCCTTATAAGCTATGACCAGTAGTAGCTGTCTCTCGATCGCCCCTGAAGAAAAATTCCGTGGAGACTTAAAAACAAGAACTAAGGTATAAAAGTTTTATTATGTTTTGCGAGAACTACATACTGAGAAAATTATGTACAATATGGATCAAATCGAGAACCTTGAAAATTCAGGGCAATTTTCTCCTAATAATAAATATCAAGAGGATGGTTAAAGGTTAGAAGAAATAAATATACTAAACATCTAAAAAAAAAAAAACTGCCAAGAGGAAGTGTGTTTCTTTAAGATAAATCATCATGCTGTTTGTTGCGGTCTCCTGTTACTAGGAGATATCTTCTCTAGTTGAAAACATATCCAACGACCTTGTATAATATATGATTCGTGACCTACATTTATACACACTATACGACCCGACCAAATGACTTCATGGTGTATAATTTATTATTTATTATTTATATTTGTACGTGACTACATTTATACACACTATACGACCCGACCAAATGACTTCATGGTGTTTAATTTATTATTTATATTTGCACTTATTTATTATTTATATTTGCACTTATTTATTATTTATATTTGCACTTATTTATTATTTATATTTGCACTTATTTATTATTTATATTTGCACTTATTTATTATTTATATTTGCACTTATTTATTATTTATATTTGCACTTATTTATTATTTATATTTGCACTTATTTATTATTTATATTTGCACTTATTTATTATTTATATTTGCACTTATTTATTATTTATATTTGCACTTATTTATTATTTATATTTGCACTTATTTATTATTTATATTTGCACTTATTTATTATTTATATTTGCACTTATTTATTATTTATATTTGCACTTATTTATTATTTATATTTGCACTTATTTATTATTTATATTTGCACTTATTTATTATTTATATTTGCACTTATTT